AATCATTTGTATAACTCTAAGATAGCTTTTGCAGTTCTGAATGCGGCACAGTCTCCACCATGGAGAAAGCTAAGAAAGATGTTGGGCAAAAATTTCGTCGCATCAAGCACAATCTGGTGAAGTGAGTTTGATTAACTCTTGAAGACACATCGCGACGATTTACCCGTCCGATGTTCTCATTGCGGGGACTTTTAAATATATTGGAGCTTTGTCACCATTACTTCCTCTAGTTGTTCATTAATTCAATTCTCTTCTAGTTCGACGAAGAAAGACGAAGATGATGACTTGAAAATCGTTAACGCCCTCGAACATCGTAATCAAAAAGTCATCAATGCCGTCTCTGTATATAGAAAACATGTGTCAAATACAGTAAAAACTGGACTGCGGGAAGAAAATGTTGATAAACGAAGGGTAGGCATTTCTTCATTCTATGACCTCACATCTGACTGCAATTTATTGCGCGTCATAGATAACAATCATGACATTGATATCTGCATTTGACGACGCGGATTTAATTTGTTGTAATCATGAGTTTGCAAGCGTACACACCGGTTATGAGTCAACGAATCGATTTTGGTTTCAGAAAAAGCTCGACGAGTTTTCACTGTGTACGGATTTACGTGACATATCGACAGATCTCGAACAGTCGCATACTACGTGCCTGCATAAAGTTATCCAGAAAATTAGTCAAGCATTACAAGTTGTTGTCGACGAAAAGGTGTGTTTTCATCATCGTATGGACCTGAGCTTTGTTTTTTTCGCAAAATTTTCCAAGAAGCAGAGCTTTAGCGTTCGCATCTTTTCCGCTGCGTCAATGGAGCACTCGTTGCAACCGAAATACACCGTTCAAATATACTTCACTTTGAATAGAGAAAAACGCTGTTTTGTATTTGAGGTTTAAAATGGGGTAACGTAAACGAAATAGGACGGAGCTAGCACGAAATCATTGCTTGCTTTAAAAGCTCAATATATCTTTGAAAATATCTATAATAATGTCTTTTCGCATCGCCAATGAATTTTTCGGCACTTACTTGCGGTATACGCTCGAATGCTCATGCATTCAAGCTTTACAAATATTCCGTTTTTATTTCTTTTTCTCTTGAGTTAAGCTCCTTCAATATCTATAAATGGGGGAACGCAAACATGGCTTTT